CCAGCAGAAAAGCCCTTTCTCGATCTAACAAGTCAACTGACGGTGCACTTACACATGCGTCACCTTTGCGAAAGATAGCATGGGCTTCAATTATCTCTCGCACGTCTTTATCTTTATGCTTCGCCAGAACACTGCAGGATGCGTACAAGGGTGTGCAACCACATTCCACGCAATGTACTGACAAATGGCCATAATTATTCTTGTTTTTAACATTGAGCTTATGTTCACGAAGACGGTCATTAAGGCATCTACCCGTCTGACCTATACATATACCACCACAAGTCAGAGGAAGCCCATAAACTACCCCTTCAACACACGCCACAAAATGATCGCGATGCTTCTTGGAGCAACCGACAGCAGGCTTGCGGTGCGGGTCCGTCAAGCGACTTATCCTGCCAAGCTTTTGTGGTGCTGAGAATACTACTTTAATGCCCACTCGACTAGCTACTTTCTTCAGGTTATGAGCAGTTTTGTGCAGGTACGGCACTACTGCAACTCTGCTCCTACTCACTGCCGGTTGGATGTCTGCTTCCCGAGGGCGACTGTCCAACCGGCATTTTTAAGCAAACCCTAGTGGTTAGACTGGTGGCGCCACTGTACACGGATTTATAGGTTCGCGTTTCCTGAAAATAAAAATTGTTGAAGTTAGCGCATTGTGGTGTCCACTCTCTCCTGTCCCTGTCTCTTAGCGCTCAATATGTCGTCAAGCTCCCTTTACCAACACGCCCAAAAAATGGCACTGCCAAAATAAACGGCCCCCTTCAGCCGTATACGTCCTGGTCCTCCTTGTGCGTAACAATATATATATATATATATATATATATATATATATATATATATATATATATATATATATATATATATGAGATCTAACAGACAGTAATGCCAAGGAATGTACAGGGGAAGTTATTAGAACCAATAGAATGTAAATAAGAAGAAAGAAAAGTGGATGAAAAAATAACGAGCCGTGAGCAGGAATCGAACCTACGACCTTCGAATAACGCGTTCGATGCTCTAACCACTGAGCTACCACAGTGGCCTTCCCTTCATCCACTTTTTTGGGTTTATATGTGAATTTAGAAGTAGGAGTGACAGTCAGCGCCATCTATAAGCCAAACGACGAGTGTGAAAACACTCTTATGCGCATGTTTGGCGTCACGTAGCACGTGAACTTATTATGAGCGGGCAGCTGATTAATTGTCCCTCTTATACAACCTAAACACACCAAGTTTGCCAGTACGAGACCCTCGTTCAATGAAATAAGGGAAAGAAGTGTATACCTAAGGGCTCGTTTTTCGTGTTTTAACACAATATAAGTAGATCTAACAGACAGTAATGCCAAGGAATGTAAAGGGGAAGTTATTAGAACCAATGGAATGTAAATAAGAAGAAAGAAAAGTGAATGAAAAAATAACCAGCCGTGAGCAGGAATCGAACCTACGACCTTCAAATAACGCGTTCGATGCTCTAACCACTGAGATACCACAGCGGCCTTCCCTCCATCCACTTTTTTGGGTTTATATGTGAATTTAGAAGTAGGAGTGACAGTCAGCGCCATATAGAAGCCAAACGACGAGTGTGAAAACATTCTTATGCGCATGTTTGGCGTCACGTAGCACGTGAACCTATTATGAGCGGGCAGCTGATTAATTGTCCCTCTTATACAACCTAAACACATCAAGTCGGCCAGTACGAGACCCTCGTTCAATGAAATAAGAGAAAGAAGTGTATACCTAAGGGCTCGTTTTTCGTATTTTAACACAATATAAGTAGATCTAACAGACAGTAATGCCAAGCAATGTAAAGGGGAAGTTATTAAGACCAATGGAATGTAAATAAGAAGAAAGAAAAGTGAATGAAAAAATAAGCAGCCGTGAGCAGGAATCGAACCTACGACCTGTCTGTTAGATCTCACTATATTGTGTTAAAACACGAAAAACGAGCCCTTAGGTATACACTTCTTTCCCTTATATATATATATATATATATATATATATATATATATATATATATATATGCACGTTTTTGTGACCATCGCCAATATCAGCGACAGTCTTGGAACACGTCTCACCAACCTTTCGACCATCCGCTCTCCACGTCACGGAAACCACGCGCACCTACCGGCTCACGCTACCCCTCGCCGGCCTGTGATCGAAGTCTGACGCCACCACCAGCTCCCCGTGCTCTACGATCGCCGTCGCCACGGCGACACGCACGTACACCGCCGCCGGAAAACTAGTCGGTGCGGCCAGTGAGGGTGAGGCCGCGAGACCACAGGTGCTATCTACAGATGTACCCCCGTCAGCGTTTATGTTGAAGAAGAAAGTTCATGTAGTTGTCGATGAAGTGGCTACTATGGCACTTGTGGATACAGGCGCGACAGTCTCGGTGATGAGCGTAAATTTTAAGAACCTGCTAGCGCCAAAAGTGATGTTTTGCCTGAACCGTGGGGTGACATTTCGTGGTGTAAGTGGTGACGTGTTGTGTCTGGTGGGATATTGTAGTGTGGACGTCTCGCTGTGTGGCAAGGTGTTTTGCACAGTGTTTGCGGTTATTCCGTGGTCTACACATGACGTTATCTTGGGTATTGACTTCTTGTGTGAGTGTGGGGCAACTGTAGACTGCAGAGGTGGGCATCTTTCTATACACTGTACTTTCCAAACGGCGCTCTTGGAAAATTTCCTGTCCGGAGGAATGCATCTTTTTCGTCTCCGAGGACATAGTCGTTCCTGTATTTTCTGCTGTGTGTGTTCCCGTGACATGTTCCAGCAACAACTGCGGCACATTTGACGCCACGCTCGAACCGATTCCTTTGGCATGCCTGAAAAAGAACATTCTCATTCCCCATTGTATAGTGTCAGCCGTTGATGACGGGCAGGTGTGTGGACAATGAACAGTTCCATGGAGCCTGCAATTCTGCCAGGTGGCATGAAACTTGCAATGCTTAGACCCGATTCATGTACGACGCTGGTTGCGCTTGTTGATGCTACAAGCCAAAATGAACATGTAGGCTTAGAAGGTTCAGAAGATGTAGGCTTAAAAGGTTCAGAAGATGCCCAATTGCTACAAATGGTCAGCAAGTCACTTGCCCAAAGCGAACATCATACTCTGCTCGATGTTCTATCTAAGCACTCGAAAGTGTCCGATTTTTCTAAACATAGCCAAAGGTCCTAATCCCAGCGTCCCGGATACGTCATCAGATCCACACCGAGTCGGCGCATCCCATTAGGCAGAAACCTTACCGAGTGGCACCATCGGAGCGCAAGATCATCAACGAGCAAGCCCAAGAAATCCTGCAAAAGGGAATAATACAGGAATTTGCAAGTCCGTTCGCTGCTCCCGTCATTCTAGTGAGGAAGAAGGATGGTACGTGGATATTTTGCGTTGAATACCGCCGACTGAATTCTGTTACCAAGAAAGACGTCTATCCACTGCCGCGCATCGATGACAGCATGTTGCCCGCCTGAAGCCGTTTACACGAAGGATGCAAGAATGACTCGGCCAGAGGGCTTCGTATGAGACAGGAGGAATGATACGGGTATCATTACCAGGAAAAACAAGGGAAGCGCGAATAGAGAATGAAGACGACGTTGCCTCCAATGCGATTCCCCGGAGTGAGTACGAGCCATGGCGGTGGAGATCATCATCATTATACTGTGATCGCGGACTCAGGGCCCATTAAAACCCCCCATTAAGTTACCTTACCTAGTGTAACAATTTATATATATATATATATATATATATATATATATATATATATATATATATGTGTGTGTGTGTGTGTGTGTGTGTGTGTGTGTGTGTGTGTGTGTGCGTGCGTGTGTGCCTGTCTGCCTGCCTACACTTTTGACACTTAATAATAGAACTACACTTTAATACAAAACATCGTCATAAATTGGCTGCCTTGCAATGGCGTTACGCCGATAGATTATTTGGAAAGCAGCGCAATCGAAGCTGTCGATACAACATGAAAACTGGTTACAGTGAATTCACGCAGAATAACAGACGGGCTATATAGTCAATTGGCAATTTTTAATATGTTTGCGTGTTGTTTTATTATGTTTATTAGGTAATAATCCTTTTGAAAGCAATAATTATTATCTTCCACAAAACTGGCAGAAAAAAAACTGAGTCGTTACCGATATAAATTTTATAACAACGTTACTTATACTCGGGTTTCTCGTCAACCATATGAGGAACACTGTGCTCTGCATATCGTAGAGACTGCGACAAAACGAGCGCATGATTTAATCGTATTTTCGATACTTGTCCTTTCTCTGTAGCTCGCCAGTAGCCACTTATGATGTAACGCAGCTATGCAATTTACTCGTGGATAGGAGCAATGGACATTGATTCCTAATGCATCGGTAAATTGAGGACACTCCTGCACCGTTTAGGCAAAAAATATTTTTTTTTTCTTTGCTCCGAAGGCGCTTCTACAGGTGGAAATCCTAGACAGGCCATCGCTGCTAAGCACTGAGGTTAGGGGCTGAATCATGCATGAACATGTCACACCCTGCTAAGTTCACTTGATATGAGGAGCGCTTTCACATGAACAATAGAAGTTGAAGTGTCAAGCCCGCGCGCTCGTTGCGGCGGCTGCTGCGGCGTACACACTTTTCCCATGAGCGCTTGCACAACCGGCGCTTGTGTGCTTGAAAAAGGTCTGTCGCAGCCGCAACTTTATAATCACAACAGCGTCTTGAAGTCAAAAGGATTTTCTCTCTTAATATCGCATCCAGATCTCGCCAGTAAAATATCTCGCCAAGTTCCATTCTCACTCAGCTGTCTTATTATTTTTAAGCTACATGTTTACTGGTAATTACATTCGCAACAGCAAACAGAAATAAATTGAGAGGCGGCTGCGTTTTACGAACATCAAAGGGATATGTGACTTCGCTACTCGTATTCACAAGTGTTGGTAATTAATTATGCTTCTCGTGTTAAAAACTGTCCCTGTATCTGTTCTTACAACGCACGTTTTCAACTCTCTTTTGCAGGTGCGGCACGCTACTATAATAACTTAGAAGACATGATTGGCTACCGACCGTGCATGTGGTGGAAGTTCTGCTGGGTTTTCTTGACACCATGCGTCTGCTTTGTAAGTCTTTGTAAGCTTTGTAAGATAAATTTTTGTGAAACAAAAATAATGTTGAAACTAGACAAAACTAAGGATCTGGGCAAAGCGATTCAGCACTATGTAGTCATCGTTTCAATGAGCTGCGCTACATAAAATGCTAGGATTATTGAAGAGAAACTCACAAAAATAAAATGTCGCTGAAGCCGACAATTCGGCAAAGGGTCTAGTTCCCGTCAGGGCCCTGACGAAGAGAAGCCTCTATACGGAAATATTTTCTCAACGCTTAATCTTGAACTAAAGATTTTTTTCGCAAAGAGAGAAAAAAGGAAGCAATTACCATGCTCTAACATTACTGTATGATGAGCATAACTGACTAGTCATAACATGAAAGTAATGACATGTATGTCACGAATATCATGATTTACATTTCATGGTCTTGCTGCTCTTGTGGTGGTTTAGTTCACATGACATTTTGCAAAACTGGTATGGTATGACATGACTGCGTGATGAACATAAGTGACAGACCCTAACGTGAAAATCATGGCATGCATGTTATGTAAGTCAGGACTACACGCCACGCTCATGGAGGGCTCGCGTTCGTTTCACTACCTTCACATATACCAAATTTGTTGCTACGTGACGTGAATAGATGACGAAGACGACGATAAATGTGGCATACGTGTCATATAAGTACATGACTACATACCCCACTCATGATATGCTCACCGTCACTTTCGCCTGCTTTACATGTACCAAACTTGGTATTACGTGACGTGAATGCACGACGAACACAAATGCCAGGCGCAAGCATGGTAATCATGACATGAAAGTCATGTACCATAAAATTTACGTCTGCCTCGTAACGTTATGCTGTTTTTAGAGTGACATATCAACCTCGCTCATTTATTGCTTGGATATCATCGATTTCCACTGTACGTGGGACCTTGCCAATTTTTTTCTTGGCACTAGGTGGCCACACTTTTCTTTTATTGCCATCTTTCATTGTGTTCTCACAAAATGAAGCCAACACCAAGTTTTCATTTTTACGCAATATACCAAATAGAGAGAGAGAAATACTGTTCATAAGAAAAACAGATTTTTGCCGGCGTCTGTATATCGCTGGCATGCTACTTTGTATATGGATGAAGATTTTGCTCTCTTCTGAAATCAAAACACGGGAACCTCCGTTTATTGGAAGAATGGTACTGTTTTATTTTTTTAAATCTGCCATTGAGCGAGAAAAACGTTCGGTACATTTGGTACAGGTGCTTTTCTTGCTGTAACAATTTGATAAGTGATCACTATTCAACAAATTACTTAAAAAATATGATACCTTCTGCACCAGCCAGATCTCCAATGACCTTCCGTTGTACACCATTGCTAGCCTGATGTGGACGGTGTTCGCGCGATGGCTGTCGCTTTTTCGGGTGCGTTGTGATTATTTACGACGGGTCGTTGTTATAAAAAAATGTATGAAGAATACTGAAAGCTATCACTTCGTGGAATGCACATGCAGGGAGTATTCGTGTTCAGCCTGGTGCAGTATCGACCGTTGAAATACATCGACTACGTGTATCCATGGTGGGGCCAGCTCGTTGGATGGATCCTTGCCCTTTCGACCATGCTGTGCATTCCTGGTTACGCCATCTACAAGTTCATCGTCACACCGGGAGACATACGCACGGTGGGCATGTCATGTTTTGCACATCTGTAAGCATGTATGCGTGTCACCGGGATCAGCCTTTGTATAGTCAGCACTTAATAATTAATTATCATTAAGGCGCAAGTGGCCCTAACGATAGTAATGTGGCCAAATGCACCGAAACCTGGCCGTGTCTTGCAGGGCATTCCGAACCTGCCACGTCTTGTTCGTGTCAATGCCTCCATTCTCCTGAAAAATCATCTTTATTGTCAGCTGTCAGTTGTTACAGCGGTACCCCGCCTCTAGGCGGACATTCAACGGAACCGACAACCAATTTTTATCGTGTACTGGTCAGTGAGCCTTATAACGGATCGGCAAACTGTAAAAAGTCGCGACACATTTGTAGTCAAAGGGTTCTATCTACAACGTTTATGAGGTCGTATACTGAAATGCTGCAAACAGAGTGGTTCGTGTTCTTGCGTGGTAGTTTACTGCGCATGTGGTGCGGCCCGACTAGTCCACTGGCGGCCGCGATCGCAGCGCCACTTCTCACCACGGAACTAATTTTACGTCGTAAGCAGCACACGATTGAGTGCGGCTGGATATTAACATACATACTTTGATTCTGAGGACTCCCGTGCATGGAAGCATCACGCTACGCGACTACACACATAAAATAGATCGACTGGATACTTCATAACCAAGCTTCAACTTTCTTCCGCGAGGCTGCGCCACGTAATGGCATTTGTTACTTTTATGTATGATTTGAAATATAAATCTTTGTCACAATGCGAAAACAATGCTGCTATCTGTGACTAGATTTCATGTTTTTTTTTATTTCTGCTAGAACATGATCACATCGGTCCCTGTAAGGCTGCGCCAACAATACTGGGCCACTCAGTCTCGTCATAAATCGTGTGCCGGCTGGGCCGTCTATGCTTACGTTTAATTGAAAGCGACAAGCAAAACCTAATATTGGAGCAGATACAGCTGGACGGCAGGCTCTGAAATCTCAGTCAGACGAAATGTTGTTTGCTTAAGCATCAGAGCATAAGAAGGCCTAACTAACACGTAACAAAAAAGCTTGCCAGCAATAAATATACTGCAGCTACAACCGGCTTTCATCAACACTGACAACAAAAAGCAAGAGGCCTAGCCAAATGGAAGGGCTTTGCACAACAAAGAAGTCATTCAAACCTTCCGCTCACTAAAACTAGGCCTGAAAGTATTCAGGCACATCTGAATTTTGCCGCATAATGCGCGAGAAATACTGCTCAATAATATTAGTAATAATAATAGTATTATTAATAATAATAATAATAATAATAATAACGTGACGTATTTATTAATGCGAAACTTTCCAGAAAGTCGAGAAACATAAAGGACAGAGTGTCGATGAGCGGCCGACGTCAAGCATGCAAAAGCCGGGCGAGCGTGCACTCTTGACCAGGGCTGCTACTGACACTGATGCTGATGCTGATGACCTCAGATTGATGGCGCTTACTCACAGAGGGGGATGAGCTAAGAACCGGGTGGCAGGATACTTAAATGGAACTAAAATGAAATTAAAGCCAATCTGAAAACTTACTTTAGAGATAATACTGTCAATAAAGAAAAATGTTTGCTGAACAAGTGGTCAAACCATCTCTTGTTCTTGACAGACATCGCTACGAATTGTAAACTATAGATCTCAAAAAGGTTATGGTTCACTAGCACGGTAATCTTTTAGATGCATTGATGTAATCGAACACAGTTGAGCATATATCCCTGTGGCAGTAACCAGATGAAGTCCCACCAAGTGATAAATGTACTGGTAGATTTACTTGTATTCCTAGCTTTTGTAATGGGGCTACTAAAAATCTTTTTCTCTGATAAGAGTACCGACGACAGAATAAAAAGAAATGTTCAATTGTTTCAATTGAACACTGAGGTTAGCTAGCTTGCTCGTGTTCTTCTTCGTCGTCGTCTCTTCACTAGATAGCCCCCGGTAAATAACAGAGCCACCCTGGTGACTTAAGACGTTGGTATTGTAGTGGGGTCATAAGCCTTGATGCGAGATACATCAACAATTTCGCGATAGTCACGACGCAAATCTTTAGATGGGGGGAAGTACTCGACGTCGTAATTGACGGGGAAAATCAAACAGCCCCCCTTGATATGTACAGTTCTTCAGAAAAAACGGTTTGCGTTTTCTTGAAGGCGATAAGGAAGGAATGTTTGTTGTAATGTCATCTGACTGCTTCAAACAAAAAGACGCTTTGGCCATCTCCAAAAAGTTTGTTGCCGTGAAAGTCAGGCTGACTAAGACGAAGACGTAAGTTGCAGCTAGATGGCTAGATGCAGTCAGCTTGAGTTGAAAGGATTGACTAAGCCTATTTTCGACGACGAAGATAGTTCCGTTTCGATATTTTTTACGGCAAAAACACAGGATGAGATCACAGGATGAGTATTTGTAAACACAGGATGAGTATTTGTAAGAGAGAAAACGTCCTGGTAGCTGCATCTAAGCTGGTGCCTGGTAAAGTATATAGGTGGTTTTGACACTGAGGACCATTTCGCTACAAAAAAATTCACTTCAAGCGATAGATCTTGCGCGCAACAAAGATTTGGTCGGGTACCTTTCTCGGTCGATGTGATGCATTTGCTTTAGACTGTTACACATAAGGAACTGCTCATTGCGGTGAAGGAATGTATGAAAAAAGGAAGAAGTACTGTTTCAAAACAGAGCTGGCGTAACTGTTCAGAACATTATGTTGCTCTTAGAATTTTGTTTAGGCTCCACCGTCGTGTACTTTGATGGCGAGACGTATTTGCAAAAATGCAGGATATGCACTGGTTTGTGTGTACCACCAATGCTATGCGATATCTATCTGTGGCTGGGTAGCTGTGCGCCTTTGTTTGCTAGGCTGAAAGTTCTAGAATACAGCAGTGAAAGGGTTCCACGTGAACTCTTGGAGGCGTTCTACATCAAAATGAAGGGCATAGATTGTGTCATTCATGCGTCAGTATGTACGCTGGAGTGCCTAATTCAATTGCTTTGTCGAAACGCGCTTTAGTGTTTCGGAATAAGTAGCTTTGCGAACTGTCTGCAGCTGAGTTTGGGACGTAGGATCTGCATATTGCTCACAGTTCTATCGTAAAATAAGATCACTAGGTACTGAGTGCCCGTTCCTGTCTACTCGTCTCTACGTTTACTTTTCGTGTCTCGTGTATGCACGAGACAGGAAAAGACACGTGTCTCGTGTATGCACGAAACAAGTTAATAATTATTTCAAAGCGTAATAACATAAAAGGCTCTCTCCAGTTCACTTCCCAAGAAAAAAGGCTTTTGGTAACGTCAATGCCCTTCATGATGATTGATATGTGGGGTTTAACGTCCCAAAACCACCCCATAATTGCGAGACACACCGTAGTGGAGAGCTCCGTAAACTTAGACCACCTGGGGTCGCACAAAATCTGAGCACACGGGCCTACAGCATTTTAGACTTCATGAAGAATGTAGCCGGGATTCCATCCCGCCCGCGACCTCCATATCGGCAGCCGAGTACCTTAAACCACCGCAGCGGGGCTCAGTGCGCTTCAGTGAGCTTGCTTATATTGCTAATGCTCATGTAGCCGGGGGTCTTCCCTTAAGACCGCAGCAAGCCAAAGTCCCATAGAGATGTCGAGCAGAGGAGCCGGTGTGGTTGACAGGGGCGTTTATTTACGTTATATACAGGTTCAAGGTAGCGTGATACTACAATGTTTTCGGTCGTGTGCTTCGAGCGTCGTGTTTTAAAATCCACGTCTTCCCAAGACCTTTTGCAAGAAAAACAATGAAATTCAAGATGGTCCAGTCAAATAGTTCTCTTCAACTCCGCACCCGACATGGCAGAGTGAAACATTGCCTCGTTCTCAACACAGGGAAAGCGAGGAGAGGCCCGCCAGTTCATTCCATGCTTAGAGAGAAAACGCTGCACAAAACACCAGGTGCACGACACAGCACAGCGCGATGTTGAGGGCTACGTAGAAATCAACTCCGTAATCTGTTGCAGCGATTAGTGTGTGGTGGTGGGCAGGCCACAATTTCTGGAAAATGGGGAAAATGTGGCATGGAAGTGCCACGTAGAACGTGACAAAACATCCAAACATGGACTTCAGTCACTTGGATTTATTGTCCGCCGCACTCCAACGAACAAAGCCGCACAGAGATAACCACCCTTTATAAGCCATTTTGACTGCAAACAACCCTTCTTAGGCCGTTAGTCAGTCGGGTAGCTTCAAACCATTCTACAAGGGGAGACGGCTGCACTGCAAGATTGCAAGTACCGCTTGCGTTTCATCGTCACTTGTGGTTCACCTCTGGGAGCGCTGTCCCAGAATCGTCTCACGTCCAAGCGGCGCCATGCCAGGGAGGCTGATCACAACACCGCATGCGTAATTTGGGTGTGTGCATTTTTGCAGCAAGGAACAAGGAGGTGAGAGAAGAGCAGGACGTTCAGGAAATCTTATTGCAAGCAAGCAGGCACCTATTCCACAAGTAGACTCCCCCAAATATTTGGGCATATATGACGAAAACCCTAACAGCATAACACCATAGAAAGTACATAGCCGCTAAGGCACAACGGGCGTAAGGCTTGTTACGCAGAATAAGTAATCGCAAAGGTGGTGTAGGTAGGGCCACCATTGTAATGTTATACAAGATGTACTTGCGCCGAACATTCGAATTCAAATGTGTATTATTTTCTAGGTGCTGCTGCTTATAACGCTAAGCTGCTGGTTTGCTTGGAGCGAGTAGCACTGCGCCTATGTCTGGTCTCTTTAGGCTTGCAGCTAATACTAGACAGTTATAGTTTACCGTTTGCGTGATAGGGGAAGTTAAGGGAATGGCGTTACCGAACCACAAACGCTCATTGCGGACCGCGACTTATAATTTAGCGGGATAGCGTTTACGTGACTTAGGTACCCCAGTGGGGACTGTGGCACTACCTATTGGAGGGTTTCTGAGTTAAAAAGAGCGAAAAGTGAGAGAAAACAAGAATGTTGGCCTTCGTCACCGCGCGAAGCATTATGGCAAGTTTTTTAGTAATGATAAAAGTAAATAAATATGAATTATGCACCAAACGCAAAACCATTTATGTTGCCAGTTTGTTCACATCGATTTTCTAGTTAGGGTTAGAGATTCTAAATGGAAAGTTCTCGGAAAAACTGTGCTAACTTATCCGTAATAATCGGTCATCAAAGCTAACTGAAGGCAAGCGAAGTCATTCTACACAGCATTTTGCTGCGAACTAAGTGAATCTTCTAAGAACCACTCCAAAATCACTTAAAAGCGGGCGTCCGAAACCGTCACCATGTTTTACGCACACTACGTAAACAGTGCTGACATGGTAACGTTAAATCTGAAAAATAGCGTGCGTATGGTGAGTGGTACGGGTCATATGTGTTACTGCGCATGCGCACTTAGATCCCGGTATCCCGGTCAACTCGTAATCCCGCTAAGCCCGGTAAACTATGACTTTCTAATATCATTGACCAGGAAGCTTACCTGCCAACAATTAACTGTACAAACATTTCTAAAAATTTACAGTTTACTGCTACGAAGAACAAAATATGCTTTATCAATGAACCAGATTCTTCTTTCTCAATCATGGGGCCAGGTTTTGCAGTTCGCAAATAATTTTTTACAAAAGAAACTGGAAACTAAGTGTGAACGTTACGGGGGCGGGGGGTAATTGCACTGATAGCACAAGTCGGACTGTTATGATAGAATGTGATGAAATTTTCCCCCAAAATCTTAATTTCAGCCCTGCCACTTTTTACACAACAGGTTAAACGATTACCTTTTGTATGCGCAAACACAAAACACGATAGCCACGCATGCTTCTGTGAATGTTGAAGGGGCAGGAGTGGTAATCGTCTCAGAATCGTTCGGCTGGTCGTGTACCGTTAGGCTCCCAGACTTCACACGTATTTTTGAAGCAGAACAGCTGGCAATTATTATGGCTATGTGAAAACTTACGCCCGCCGCGACTAGTGCGGTCATAAGTGCCGACTCCCCTTCAGATTGTACAGCTTTAACAGCTTCACATAACTCACGAGCCGTAAAGACGTTACGCCGGTTAGGTCCACCTCCGCTGAAGTGCGCCTGAAGTCATTATGGGTGCCAGGTCACTGTACACTGCAGTTGAATGAAATGGCCGATTTCTTAGCGTGAGCATCACTTCAGGGCCCAATAGTGAAGGTTCTTTCAGAAATAGAATATATAACAGCAATCAGCTTTATAAACCTAGCCTTTTGCTCTGAGAGGGTGCAAGCCGCAACAATATGGACAGAATATCAGCATCTATATTTTGCGTGGAAGGCTCAGTGGACTCAGCCTCGGCAAGGAGAAGTTATGGTCACCAGAATTGTACGCCGTGTGCCCCCACCGAATTTTCCTTTACAGAGGGCTGCTCTGTGTAATCATATTTGGGTGCAGGTTAAAGAAACCTAGGTGGTAAAAATATCTGGAGCCCTCCACTACCGCGTGTCATACTCATATGGTGGTTTCGGGACGTTAAATCCCACATAAAAATCAATCAACCGATCAACCAGGAGGCTGGTCTGTTGATATTGCCCCTCTCTGAAAGCTGCGGGGATATCGGAGATATTGAACATTACTTTTCACCTGCCGCAGATACGCATATGTTAGAGTACGAGTACTTGTTACTCCGTTTTTGAATATAGGACTAAATAAATTCTTTTAAGCTTTCGTGTCTCAGGTTTGGGACATTGTCAAGGGTTTTTTTTAATGCTGTTTGCCAATACAATGAAGCTTCTGAACGTATTTCAGGGAATTTTTTACTTCAACATATACTCCAAAAGCAATATACATATGTTTTTGAGAAGGTTTAGTATCCAACAAATTTCAGAGTGTCAGGTAATTTACGCTGTCGGCCCTACAAGCAAAATTGCACAGTGAACTTGGATTTATATATATATTACCCATTCTTCCCTTTTTATTTATTCATTATTAATTATTCACTATCGTTCAAATTATCTACTCAATTTTAAACTACATCTTGGGCAATCTCCTGGAGTTGTGATTCATCAGACGCACACAAACAAAAAAAGTATCCGGAGTGCGTTATTTATGCACCTTTGGGTCAACCGTTACATCGCCTCTGAATAAACCCCTCTCATAGACGTAGCAGAGAGGCGCAAGCGTGGAGTACACCACGTCAACGTACCACGAAACCACAGCTGTTCCAACTTCACCAGAACCGCCGTCTTGCAGGTCTGCCCCCGACAACAACAATCGCCATGGCCCAGAGCGAAGCTCAAAACGTAACTACTTCAACCACGCGCCAACGCCGGCTGTAAATACTCATTACTAGATTGAACCCTACCCGTTCGCAGGAAAGCCAGGAGATGTGCATGCCTGACTAACGCATTACAAAGGAGTGAGCTGGTGGAACCAAAGGTAGCCCATCAACCAACTGGAAAACGTCGCAATGTTTCTCATGAAAACGGCCCTGATGTGGTGAAAATACAACGAAGAGCCTTTAAGGATCTTTTTGTTCAAGAACTGAAGAAGCCCTTCAGTGACTCCAACTCGGTAAAGAAAAGTGCAGAGGGGACCTCACTCAAAGAGCTTAGACTGCGGGTGACACGTGCACCACCTATATACTGGAGGTTCGGAAGCATTGTAAGATTATTATTCTGCAGATGTTCGAAGAAAACAGAGTGACACCTCCTGAAGAGTGTAGCAGAAGACATTTACAAATGTCTGATGGAAAGCAGTTATCTCACCTTCTTCTCGAACGTCCGACTTCACTGCAGCACGTTTGAGAAGTTGAGACTCGTCGTGTTGCCTTGAAATTCGGTAGGCTGGCAACTGTGACGATGGTCGCCAGCGTCAACAAGAACCCTCCCACCAACTTGGCCGTTACTGTCCGGGCAATAGTGCGTGAAGAGCTGCAGCGACAGGACAAGCGGGTTGACGACACCATCACTCATCCGCTTCCCAGTCAACCCTACAACACGGCGCAATCAGCTCATCTTCACTGAGGTACGCGATAAATAGAAGTACAAAAAGAAGACAGCTGGATAAAGTGCACACTAACAATTGAGAATTTATTGGAACAAACAGACATGAGTGGTTACGTGAAAACATGTCGAAGAAACGATTACATGAGCAGAAAGATTGTGTTATTGAGGCACTTCCAGAAAATCTACCCCAGTGGCAAGGAACACAACCGTGGGTTTTGCGACATATGAATCACCTATTTTTTTGATAAGCTACGCTTCTTCGATTTCCCGTGCTATCCTGTCCCCGAAATTGGCTTTTACTGTCGTATCGCTGAACGAGGTTGCGCAGCCGCATTCACTACAATTCAAGGAATGGTTAGGGCATGGTTGTCGCTTTAGAGAAGCTTTGTCATTCATAATCCTAATAATACCACAATGTCCCGTCCGGCCAACCTAACGCTTCTCACACGAAAGCTGAATGTCGTACGCCACAGTGACGGCGCAATCGACCTCCTTGGCCCTGTGCTTGACCTGGTAAATATCCTTGCCTTGCTTAAGAAGTTATCACCATATACTTTCCACCGCCTCCGCGCGAACGCTGCCTAAAGGGTTGCCACCAGAAAAGAAAATATTGCATGTGCACCACGCTCCCACTTTCTTTAGGCGGTGTGGGAGTGAAGTACAGATGCAATACTACTAAAGATACCAAAGAACTACACCAACACTAGATCACAATATCTTCTGGTGGTTCCTAAGAATCTTAACACTTGTGTCTTGCAGGCTATGCATGATGATCCAACATCCAGCCATCTAGGCACAGCGAAAACTTGTTTGCTGTCTTTAAGAAAGGTTCTGCTGGCCAGAAATGCACCTGACGACAAAAAACTACGTTTCCAGCTGCGACGCGTGTCAACTTTACGAGCGCCCTACAAGAGCTCCTTCGGGGCGACTACATTCTATGCCGCCCTCTATAACTCGAATCTGGCAAGTCAGGATTGATTTTTTGCTCTTTTTCCGGTCTTCCAATGGAAATCGTTCAGTGGTCGTGTGAACCGACTATTTACCACGCTACTGCTAGACAACTTCTAGACCATCGGCAACTGCAGCCGATGCGTCTTCATGTTATGTTTTGTGATTTCATGACATGGACCTCGTAAAATTGTAGTCAGTGTCCGTAGACGACACTTCACTGCAGACGTGGTGGCGGAAATGTTTCGTGTCAGCATTTCAAGGTTTCGGCACTCTACATGATATCATAATCATACAAGCGGTCAAACAGAATGAACTAGCGGAACTCTCCCGAACATGGCGTCTGTGTATGTCACATCATAACAAGAACTGGGACAGTGTTTTACTTTTCATCACTTATGCATTTAACACAATAAAGCATGAAACTCCAGCTACAGTCCTTTCTTCTGATGAACTTATGTAAGAGTAGAAGTAATAGAAGGGTAGAGCGAGATTAGTTTTTTTTTTTGCGCATTTATAGAAAGCGCTACATTGTTAGTCCTTTACACGCATAACTTCATTCGTGAGACTGAGTGGGACCGTTTTCGCAGCGCTGCAAGGAGCTGTTCCGCCCGGATGTGGACATTGCAACCGAGATTCGTGCCCGGAAACATCGAGAGAGGCGCATTTCGGCCACCACCGTCTGAGTGGCCTCTCGGCGTCCGTACGAACATTCCTTCGTCCGATGACGTCTGCATTTTTCGAGCCCCACCGAACCAAGCCCCGACGACGGCGGCGTTACGCTGATGGTCAGCCTCTGAACGGACCACTTGGAAATTATGCTCCGTACAGATTCAGAAGCTCGAAGCTATCATGGCTTGTACCCGTCTCAATATTGGAGTTCTTTTCAACATTTACAGTGCTTGGCTGCAATGACTCGAATTACTTAAAATGTAGCATTTTTGTTAACCACCTTGTCACTGTATTATTAGGTACCAGATAAGAAATGCACGGGTTTAACAGTTCTGCCTGTCAGAATGTGGAAAAGGCAATGCCGTAAAATGTAGCGCTGAGCTTTTTAAAACTCTAAGTTTGCAATTAAAATATGCCGGGGCTATCAGCTATTCGCGATTTCTGCACCTAGCGGACACCTGAAAGTGAGCGGATACTACTTGATTCTAACCTTTCTTGAGTACGTGCTGTAAAATTGAACTTTCTTGTGTCTGCAGTCAAGAAACAGTTTTATATCACGGCGTAATGTCGGAGCTAGTCGATTTATTACCAGAAGACACAAGGGGCGGCACTAACTAGGCCAGGGCTAGAAGATTCGTTGATTGGCGTCCTCTTTTAGTCCTCATCTACTTAGCATTTGGCCTCACTGAGTGATTTTGTTGCCAAAAACAAGGCGTCTTCGTCGCCGCTGAGAGGCACTGTGCAGACAACTGCACTATAGAGTCAAGCGGACCCACTCTGCGACTTCGTATAAGAACTGAACCATTTGAAGACTTTGTAGCGTGTGCGCATATTGTGTGTCATGTGTAAGACAATTTAGGTGCTCTCATTAGACACATTCAGTTGAGCTTCCACAGCAGCTCTTCAGACGCATGCTTCCAGCCATTTTCAACAGGAGCCTGCGCCTGCAGACCTACTGAGGATGCCTCAATGTCTCTAATAGCTGATCGTGAAGTTATTTTTATGCCACCTGGTGTTGTTAGGCTGTCTATGAATGTATGTGTGCTTAATGAGTTTCTTCCCTTCTGTATGGTATCAGACCAACACGAAAGATCCAAGAGTGCTCTGTCCTGTTATACACTCATGTATGAAAATGTAATCTGAGTTTTGGTGTTTTGAAATATCTCTTGCCCAGTCACATCGCGCAATCCATCTCATATAGTCAATGTGCTGTACAGATTCAGATCATTGGGCACGTTGTCCACGCTACATAAGATGGGAATGTGCTCGAACAACTGCAGCACTCTAGTGATCATAAATTCGTGTATAGATTATGGGCGTAATCATTCTGCCGGCAGTTTTTCCTTTACTTATAGGTACTTTTTGATGAAAATAAACCTGCGCAATATTCTTCAACAAAAACAAACAGGTGCCTGGTACTGGTTCTAAGTATCATTGCACTGATGGATAAAGCGAAGCCTGCTACCAAGACTCGTAATATTGCTATAAAACCTCGTTCATTTGACCGTCATTATTTCGGAAAACAGGACGTTTCGTGCATGCCTCTTGGTGCCGGGCAGCATATGCTTTGCCTAATGTCATCACACTATTGCTTATTCGGTCACATTTGACGACAATACGGTTATTTCGGATGATCCTCTAGGCGCGCCAAGCGCGAAACGTGACAAGAGGGCTCTACGCGAAAGAGCATAAATGGCCTTCGTGAACAACCTCATCACCATTTTCATTACTTAGTCAACTCAAGCGTGCGGGTGTGGCACTCAGCTGCTGTGTTTATTCGCTGCAACGCACGCGCAATGTCACCGAAGTCAAACATGGTGTACGAAGAAGGGCTTTGAGCCACAGCTGGCAAATTCCACGAAACTCATTTGCTGCTTTGTGATGTATCATTCTAAAGCCCTTTAACCTACGACACATATCTTCACGTGCACAATTCACACTAAGGAATAGGTACAAAGCACATATCAGGCCAATTAAACAGCGGAGTCTGGCGCCATGGTTCAATGGACCACGAAATTGTAGGATGACAATAATTGCGGCTTTTCCACGTCTCTTATGCAAAACAAGACCAGGCTTTGTGTAGTCATCAAAAGATTGAGAGTTTATTCGTGCAGGACATTTGTTTACTCAACAGAATAAAAAAGTTGGGCAAGTTGGTACAAATGCACACTCAAAGCAGCGCAGAAAGACGGCCCGAACATGGAAGACGAGCGCTCGTCCCGCGTGTTCGTGTCGTGTAGGTATTTCCCATCTGATGCATTTGTTCTCTGCTTTCTGCGCACTTTGTATGCACTTCTGGCGCTGAATCCACTTTTAACAGCTCTGTAATATACGAATTAACAAGCTCTTATACTGTGCTACAATCACTGCTTATCAATACAAAAAATTACACAGTATGTTCAGGAGCAGTTCCTCACAGGCCGGTCACTGTCACTGCAGGCATGCTAAGAACTTTTGTCGGAAATACTATGTAATTTTCTGTAATGCCATAATTCACAGCTCAGTCAATCTCTGGAAACAGCACTATCGGCAATACCAGCGGAATGACAATTATTATTACGGCCTGAGGCAGTGCTCTTTGCATCCGCAAAGGTACCTTATAAATCTTACGCCAGCTAAACTACTCAGTTATGTCCTTGCTATTTTGAAAACACTCATTACATAGAGATAAGGCTGCAGGCAAACATAATTGAAGGAAACAGCTTAGTCTGCGGTGCCTGAACTAAAAGAAGACTTTGCGCATGAGGATGTAGATTTCGCCAAATAATAGTTATGTTCTCTACGCCAACCGCTCGGCCCAACATGTTGTATTTCAATAGTACGCTCAGTTCAGAGATGTTAAAACGTGTTTGCACTCAGCTTTAATGTTTCATATAATAAAGGCCGCATTTTCTTAATGTTCTTCGTCCTCCATTTAGATCCAACAAGTAACCTCGTTTTTATTTCAGTTTCTGGCTTTCGACACGTGCACAGTTATCGCGAAATTTCTTTATAGCTCCTCTTCAGATGCGCTAATATAGCAAGGTTAGAAAACGCTTATTACATAGCGAGTATCCCTGGCACGAGAGAGAAACATCTCTATGCAGTAAAAACTCGTTAATTCGAACAGGGTTGATTCGTACTGTCACTTCAGTTCCAGCGCAAACCTGTGCACTTTTATGGATGAAAACTTTGCATACTTGGAACTTGTCGGTACCAGCTGATTAAACTGGGAGCCCCTACTTTTTATCTCTCCTCGTAGTAAACTTTAAAAATCAAAGTAAACGAAATGAACTAGAGATGCAAGACAACAAAACTGCGACATTTCTCAGCACTTGAAAATTCGTACGATGCTTGAGGTTTTCTCCAAGCTGCAGACGATGCTCATAGAGTTGTCACGACAGATGTACTAGCAAACGCTTAAGTATAGACTACTTTTAATTTTGATTGCGTGATCTGCGTCACGTAACTCAAAGTTTTGTGGATCATTTAGAGCGTCATATCAATTCGACGTTAGAGCTTGTTCCTTACATAAATGTCGTTGTTTGGTGTTTCTGGCATATCAGTAATAGATAAATTAAGGATTCTATTCTGTCTTAAAGCTCCACAACCTAATTTAACAAATCATGTGTCACAAAAATATAGCATCTCCTAATTCAGAGGACGAGTCCAAAAATTGATTCTGGGGTACTGCTCGTAAGTGTGACGCGATGTCCGTTCATTGTAGCGCGCGCCTTCTAAGTGAAACGCTGCTTCTATAAAAAAAGCTTATAGTTTCCATCAAGTTCTTATTACCGAGCTTTTACTATGTAGCATAGAACCATTATTAATAGTGCAAGAAAAAGTGCAGCGCATGAAAAGAGCACATACAGCTTGGACACCCAACTTTCCAGACCATGCACGTTCTTATCGTTCACGATGTGACGATGCTTTTTGGTATTGTCATTGTCAATAGTATATATATATATATATCCGCAGGGAAGAAGACGCACGTACAAAGTGATTTTATTGACGTTTCGGCCATGGGTCCAGCCTTCATCAGAATGCAGTGTATGGCATGAGTGCTGTTTATATACTTGCGCATATCAATAAGACAAAAATATGAAAACCGGCATGAAAGGCGATATATGGGCATATATAAATGAAAGTCACACGATTTGAAGGGCACCTGATACATGTGTGAAAAGATATCGTTTCCATGCGCGAGCACGTGGCGAACACGTTGTTTACAAATAAAAGATAAAACGCATAAAAGATAAAACGCATAACTTACGCTTGCGCGAGTTTTTCATGACCGGTCAAATTGGTTCCGCAAGCGCATTACCTTCTGGAATACGTTGGGTACCTCCTTCACAACGAGACAGATGCTTACATATGTATATCAAAGCTGTACAATGAGAAGTACTACAGTCGTATCGAAAGCAAACGCTGTTTCGCCATAACCTATCCACCAGTGAAATGAAAGCGCTAAATGCCTTGTCCTCTCGCAACGACATCTTCATCAAGCCTGCGGACAAAGGTGGGGCTGTTGTAATGAATAAGTTTAATTACAAAGCAGAGGCCCAAAGACAGCTAGCAGACACGAGTTTTTACAAGCGTCTGGATCACGACCCCACTGAACAATTTAAATCTCTTGTGCAAAGCAGTTTGCTAAATCTTCTAGAAAACAAAAGGGTGCCTGACAATGTGATGAACTCTCTTATTCCCCTAAGTCCAGTTCCCGGTCGTTTTTACCTTTTGCCTAAAGTACACAAAATAAAACACCGCGGCCATCCCATTATTTAGGTATTGGTACTGTCAAAGAAAAATTGTCCAGTTATGTGGATTCTCTGATCAGTAGTATCCCAGCATCACTTCCGTCTTACGTAAGGGACACTACCGACTTTGTTTCTGGTATAATTGATCTCTATATTCCTCAAAGTTATTTTTTGGTCACACTAGACGTAGCGTGTTACGTAGCGTGTTACACGAACATTCCGCATGTAGTTGGAATAGCCGCAGTCGCCAGGTCCTATGAGCAGCATCACCGGATAAACTTTTCGACAGCAACACATTAGCAGTATTGCTCAGGCTCATTTTAGAGCTAAATAACTTTCAATTTCAAAGCTATGTCCAAGTTAGCGGCAACTACGCCAGTATATTCATGGGCTAACTTGAAAGTGAATTTTTTCAAACCCGCACGCTGAAACCTTTTTATTATAAACGTTACATTTATGATATTTTCCTTATTTGGCCACATGGTGAACAGGAGTTGCTTTCCTTCATATCTGACTTTATAGATGCCCATCCATCAATATCATTTTCTCATACCTATTCCACATCAACGCTTAGTTTTCTTGATGTAAGCATTTCGATTGTAAATGATAAGCTATGCACTGCTCTATAGAGGAAGCCTACAGACCGGCAACAGTATTTGCACTTTGATAGTAGCCACGTGAAACATTGCAAAACTAGCATTCCTTACAGCCAGGCCTTACGCTTCAAAAGAATCTGCTCAGAGCAATCAGAGTTTCAAAAAAATTGCAGAACACTAAAGGATGCTCTATTCAAACAAAAACATCCACCGCAAATCATTGATGACGCGATAAAACGTGCCGGCATGCATATTCGTAGAACGCTGTTGTGCTCAGCTAAAAACTCGACTCCCACACCACAGATAAACTTAGCCCTTACTCATTTTGCGTCAGTTCCACGAGTTTGCAAAGTTCTAAGAAAGCACCACAATATTCTAATGCAAAGTGAACGCCTAAGAACCATTTTTGCCGTACCACCTAAAGCAGTGTATCGCAAAACTAAATATACTCGAGACATAGTCTCATGAACATCATCGTCGAAAACAGACAGTCCTTTCACGAACGGGTGTCATTCTAGCCCAAAACCGCGATGCAAAGTATGCCCGTACATGCGCACATGCCAACAAGTCGCCTGCACTGGTTCCAACTTTTCCTTAAAAATGAAAGGCAATCTTGACTGCCACTCTAAGAACATGATATACTTGATAGAGTGCGCGCTATGCGAAATACAGTTCATTGGTGGACAGAAGGGCCTTTTAGACATCGTTTTAACAACCATAAATATCATGCTAACACCTTGCCCCTCTTGCCCAATTCAAGACACGTGTGGCTCCCTGACCACTATTTTGAAAATCTACAGGTCACATTACTAGAATCTGGTTTCCACAGAAATTATAATAGAGAAGCCCGTGAATTATTCTTCATCTATAGGTTCGACGCCGTCGCGTCTGCTCTGAATGAAAACGTACGAAAATTCAGTTGCCTATCTGTATAACCTGTATCACCCTGCCCGTCTTATCTCTTCTTTAATCAGCAAGTCGCGCTACATTGTCTGTATTGGTTGCTTACGTAGCAGCTTCATAACGTCTTTTATATAGCTCCTTATTTTTGTTATTATTTCATTTTTTTCTTTTTTTCATCTTGCTATTACCGGTCGGACTACTCTTCATGTTATGCGTTTTATCTTCTATGCATTTTAACTTTTAATGGTAAACAACGTGCTCGCCACGTGCTCACGCATTGAAACGATATCTTTTCACACGTGTATCATGTGCCCTTCAATTTGTGTGACTTGCATTTATATATGCCCATATATCGACTTTCCTGCCAGTGTTCATATTTTTATCTTATTGATATACTTATGTATATAAACAGCACTCATGCCATACACTGTATTTTGATGAAGGCCGGACCCGCGGCCAAAACGTCAATAAAATCACTTCGTACGTGCATCTTCTCCGCTGCGGATAATCTTACCCGGACCCACCATCACTTTTTTGTTATATATATATATATATATATATATATATATATATATATATATATATATATATATATATATATTCGTTGTTTTACCAAGCTCCCCGAGCTACCACTCAAGGTAGGTTTGGCGACGTGCTCATTGAGTAAGTCAAGAGAAATGTTTTTTTTTTCAGCATTTGTTATTTTATATGCGTTTTGTGTTACACGATTTGATTGCTCTTGGCAGTATGTGTACATCATTTGCTTCTAACAATAACATTTTGCTCATCTAAGGTTGAACTCACAGTATCATAGTGTGTAGTCGTGAACTGTTACAATTTCTTCTCTGATAAATTCCATCAATAAATAGCAAACTCCTAAAGATATGGTTTCCTGTAGTAACCAAGAAATTCACTTCGAGACAAGAGGTCGTCATGGTGAAGTGATTCTCGCTTTATTGAAAAACACTGTAAAAGCTGGAGATTTTGTGAAATGCTGGCATTCAAAACACAAGGCATACATAAGCAGACTGCAAGAAGGCCTCCGGTTCGGTGGAGATACGAGAAGCCTTGAATGCACCAAGTGACAAAGTTGACCCAATACTAGTGTCAAAAAGTGAATTCAATCTCCACTGTGTATCACTAGGATTACCTTCTGGACTAACTACAGTAATCCATTTATTTGCCGGCATGAAATCACCTTAAAAACGGAATTGTTTTCTATCGCTTGAAATGCTAGGATGTAACATGAGAATGACTAATTTATTTATTTATTTCATAATACTGTCAGCCCTCTCTTGAGGGCTCTTACAGGGAGGGTACAAACAAATACAAAACAACCAATATACATCTATGTGAGGTAGTAGCGCAATCAATTAGTACATGTGTAACACACTTCAAATAGGCAAACACTGTCTGCACTTACGGCAATGCCTGCATACGCATTATAAACACAGCTGAGAGCAAAAAAACAAAGAAACTCAGACCAAGGAAACGTGCAGGTTAATCGTCTGGCAGCTCCATCACTCAAATACATGTCCAGAAATTTTTCGAATCAGCAAAGATTGCTTGCATTTACTACAATGTCTGGCAACGCATACAATAACCAGCCAAATTGCTTAATGAGCTAACCTGTGCAAAAAGCCGTGGCGATTTAAATATGC